TAAGCAAACAGTAATGTAATTTAAATAATTAGTATATAATCACTGAAGTATCACCTATAATTATTCAAACTTACTTTTTAAAATAAAATTAGACATTAACTTATAAATAAAAATATTATATTTTAAAAAAAATCATTTAAAATTTTGAAAATTGACTAATTTTTTTAAAAATTATTCAAATATATATTAATTGAATATCATATACACGATAGATACTAGTTAACAATAAATTTACATATTAAATATAAATCAATAAAATCATACTTCATTCGTCACCTCATATATGACCATTTTTCATTTTTTGTCTGTTATACATAATATGATATTTTTCTATTTTTTAATAATTTTAAATACATTTAACAAATATAAATCAATTTAATTAATTTTTTAATATTTTACACATATAACCCACTCAAAATCCTTTATTTATATTTGTCTCCCCAATTAACAAATATTTTATTTACCTTTAAAATTCTATATTTTTTACAAAACTAATTTATGATAATGATAAATAAATAATTTTTTTAATTTTTATTAATAAAATTTTATTCTCTAAAAAATAGTATTCATATTGTATATATATATTTTATTGATATATATAATATTTAAAATATTCAAACATATATTGTAAATTTTTTTAATAATTAAATAATAATAATACTCATTATTTAAATAACTAATTTATACTACATAAATTATTGTGCCCAAGCGAAATGTTGCATCTTTGTCGGGACGGAGACATTATATTTTAATACTTATCGAATTCAATATATTTTGAAAAGCGATAAGATAAAAAAATTCATGAATAAAAAAACTAATATAAGAATAAAAAATGAGATTTAAATAATATAAAAATTATCAATTATAAATATTATTAAGTTTTCGAAGAAAAAGATAACTGTAAAATAAATACAATTTTGCAAAATATAAATAAATATCATATTAAATTATTTATACACTATAAAAAGAAGTATAAAAATAAATTCCCTTGATTATATATCTTTCCCAAAATAGTAAAATAAAAAAAAAATTATATAAAAATAATGAAACAAATATGAAAAAAAATCATATAATAATGATACAATATGATATTGGAATGCGGAATTGACACTAAAATCTATACAGATCAAATAAAATAATTATAAAATATAATCTATCGAACTAATAATTTATTTTTTAACTTCAAATAATAAAAATTTTTCTTTGGTTATTACATTATAAAAACATTATAAGAAAATATTATTTTTGTAACGAGATTTTTTCGTCTCTAAATCTATTTTTTTCATTACTAATTGTAGCCATTAAAAATTAAATGTCTAAATTAATTAAATATCATTTATTTTGAAAGAAAATAAAATTCCAATAATATAAATATATGATATTTAATTATGCACAATATGTTAATTTTTTTACAATAAATATCAACCATTAATGCAAAAATCTGCTTAAAATGAAAGATATCGTACAAATATTACGTGCATAAATAAAGCCATAATAAATTTGACAGCAGAATAAATTAATCTTGTCTATAAAGGAAGTATATAATTTAATATCTTCCGAGAAAGACAATGATATAAATATCTTGGGAGAAAGGAAGGTGCACAATTAAATCCGTCAAGAATGAAAAACATCGTATGATGGAAAATGAAAGATTATAAAATCTTCATGTTGGCCAATCAGGATGTGCCATGTGACATCATTAAAAAAGGAAGCCGAGGTTACCCCTCCCCTATAAATAGGAGCCATGGCCAATTCATTTGACACACCGAAGTTACATCGAGGATTCAAGCAAAGAGGTAAATCTCTAGACTCTCTTTGTATTGTTCTTCTTATTCTTCGTGTCCTTCGAAACGTTCTTCGTCTCGTCGAAAGTCACTGATTTGGACAAATGATCCAATATTGGTTGACGAATCGATGGAGTTAACGTTCTTCGTTGTATCCCCGAGCCAGATGAAGGATCAAAGCTCCCAAAGATGTTGAAGTATCCGTCAAAGCCAATAAAGAGCCTCCCAAGTTCATCCCAAAACTCCAAAATGTTTGTCACGTTCTTCGTCAAAAGCATCAATCGGGCCCTCTTCGATCAAAAACTCAAAGGGACATGACACCAAAAGCGTTATGGAGCACCAAATCTACCTCCTCAAAGATCAAAGCCGTGGATCGTCCAAAGAAGACATCAAATCCAAAGCCGATGATTGAATCGCCCACATGGAGACGGAAGCTCTCCAAAAGACGGAAAAAGCAAACCAAAGATCAAAGCCGCGGATCATCGAAAGAAAACATCAAATCCAAAGTTGACGATTGAATCGTCCACATGGAGATCAAAGCCCTCCAAAAGGCGGAAAAGGCAAACCAAAGATCAAATCCACGGATCGTTCAAAGAAGACATCAAATCCAAAGCCGACGATCGAATCGCCCACACAGAGACCAAAGCCCTAAAAAAGGCGGAAAAGACAAACTAAATACCAAAGCCGCGGATCATCCAAAGAAGACATCAAATCCAAAGCCGATGATCGAATTGCTCACACGGAGACCGAAGCTCTCCAAAAGGCAGTAAAGGCAAACCCAAAGATCAAAGCTGCGGATCGTCCAAAGAAGACATCAAATTCAAAGCCGATGATTAAATCGCCCACACGGAGACCAAAGCTCTCCAAAAGGCGATAAAGCCAAACCGAAGATCAAAGCCGCGAATCGTCTAAAGAAGACATCAAATTCAAAACCGATGATCAAATCGCCCACACGGAGACCAAAGTCCTCCAAAAGGCGGCAAAGCGAAACCAAAGATCAAAGCCTCGGATCGTCTAAAGAAGACATCAAAGACAAAGCCGATGATCAAATCACCCACACAGAGACCAAAGTCCTCCAAAAGCGAAACCAAAGATCAAAGTTTCGCATCGTCTAAAGAAGATATCAAATCCAAAGCCGATGATCAAATCACCCACACAGAGACCATAGCTCTCCAAAAGACGGCAAAATCAAACCAAAGATCAAAGCCTCAGATCGTCCAAAGAGGACATCAAATCAAAAACCGACGATCAAATCGTCCGCACGGAGACCAAAGCCCTCCAAAGTCCGGCAAAGTCAAACCGAAGACCAAGTCTCTTCGGATCAAAGAAGCCATCGGAAGCTAAGTTGGAAAACAAATCGATCCGGAAGGAGAATCAAAGGACTCATTTAGAGAATATGACCCGCTTTAAACTCAAATTAAATATAATTTGTACAAATTTTTGTGTTTATTAAAAATAACACAATTTTTTGTCAACAGATTTTTGTAACGCCTAGTGGGACCTCTCTACCTTTCATCTCTTATTTCGACGAACTTTCAAAACCAATGACTTCCTTCAAGATCAAAACTTCCAATGTTGCATCGAAAGTTGCTGATCAAGCCGCCGTCGCTGCCAAAGGAGTTTGCGCACCCATCGCGTCAAAAACCTCAAACGCTTCGACAATAACTTGAATGACAACACGAAGTATGACCAAAAAAGCATTGTCGTTCTCCGAAGAAACTTCTCCAAAAATTATAGAGAAAAGTCCACTCTATGAAGAAGACGACAACTTCAAGAGTGCTACCACATCGTTCACCACTCAACAAACTGCAAGTTATTTAACCGCATCAAGCTCTGCTCCGGTGATGACTACCAATGCTTCAAATATTGAGGACCCAAAGACCAAGGATCAAAGTCTGCTCTGTAAGGAAGATCAAAGCTTCAAAGACACTTTCATGCCACCTACTCATCGGCCAATTTCAATTCATTCAACCTCATCAAGCTCTGCTCCGGTCACGACTATCAACGCTTCAAATATAGAAGATCAACTTGTAGCATTGACCAAAATCGTTGAAGGAATGTCTCAACACATGCAACAACAAGACGCCCTCATCGAAAAATTTCTCTTCAAGCTGGAAAAGCCTGAAGAATCTAGTCATACCATCGAAAAGCAATCATCTTCCCGGGTGGCCCAAAATAAAGCGGAAACATCTGCGGATCAACGCAATAGTAAAGAAAAGGTGGTAGAACCAAATCCATTTCAAGGATCATCAACTCCTTCATCCATATATCCAAAAGTGACAAATACATCAAGGGGCAATCAAAAGAAAAATCAAAGGGAGTTCAAGGCCAACGCACACTTACGCCAAGCCTTACACTGCAAGGATTGACGCCCCCAAAATGCCAACGGGCTATCAACCACCAAAGTTTCAACAATTTGACGGAAAAAGCAACCTAAAGCAACATATAGCACACTTTGTCGAGATATGCAACAATACTGGAACATATGGAGACCTCATAGTCAAACAATTTGTGCGGTCACTAAAAGGCAACGCCTTCGACTGGTACATCGACTGGTAATGAAAATTTTTATATAAAACCAAAATTGATTCGTATAGTTCTCAATGGTACTAATATTACTTTTTTAGCTATTATATTTGACATATTATAGATTGATTTGTGTATTATTTGGTTGGATTGGAAATTTGGGCTTCAAATATTCTATCTTGGACTGCCGGCATGTCAGACATTTTTTGTATCCAATTTTGATTTTTTTGGGTATATATGACAAACACTTACCCTCCAAATAGCCAACCAGCCAACATCCAACATCTGTTCTCCAACTTGGGGTGAAAATTAAGAAATAATTAGCTTGAAAGAGGGAGAGCCGTTGAATCCCTATTTGTTCGCTGGGTAGAATTAATTTAATTACTTCCTAGCTTACGAAAGGAGTCCTTCAAACATTTATTTGATTTGCCTTGCCTTGCCTTGTTTCCTTCATACCCATGCCACGTCCTTCGCGCTGCGCCTTGCCTTAGACTGTTCTCCAGGTAATCAATTATTACGTTGATGGATGATATCGTTTTTGATCCATTTCTAAAGCTTTTTCTGTTTCGTTTTGATTTCGGGTTAATTAATCGGATTTGTACGTTGCATGAATTTGGAAGTCTGTCGAGGCGCCAGCCGCGAAGGAACGAGCTAGGGAGGGTTTGATTTGAATCGATTTTTACCGGATCGATGATGAGAAACCAGATCATGTTGCGGGAGCCGTCGGCGGCGTCCGCCGTGTACCGCCGGCAGCTGCTGCTGGAGAAATCCTCCCCGAGGAGGCTGACAGTGGCGGAGTTCGCCGGCGGGACGACGGCGGAATGCGCAGCGGTGGCGTGCTGCTGCCCCTTCGGCCTGGCGAACTTTCTGGTGCTGATGGCCTACAAGGTCCCGGCGGGACTTTGCCGGAAGGCTCTGAGGAGGAAGCGCCACCGCAGGTTGCTGAAGCAAGGGCTGCTGCAACCCCGCCGCCTCCCGTTCACGTGCGACGAAACCCTGTTCCACGTGCGACCCATCAGCAGCCCCCTCGGGGAAATGGACACCAGAGAGGAGGAGGTCATCGAATTGGAGAAGGAAATGTGGGACAGATTCTACGGCGCCGGTTTCTGGCGGAGTCCCTCGCAGAGAAGCGAGATCTCTGCCCAGTAAATAAATAATTAAAATATATATTTATTTATATTGCACATTCTTCTACTTCACTCCAACACACGCTCCTATATTATTTTTACTTTTGAAAATGAAGTTTTCTTTTTATTTTCTACTATCCACGTGGATGTATTATTATGCCATGTAAACGTAGGACCGTAAAATGTGGTTTGGTCTGGAGTCCCTAGAATATGAATTTGACTGTCCAATAACAAAGGAACTGCTTGAAATTAAATTTTGGATTTTTTTTTTTTTTTTTTTTTGTTTTTTGGGTGGTGTAAGGCTAAAGTTCTTTGTTCTTTCAATATATACATTTTTTGTATTCATTGTATACAAAAATATTATATCCAATAATTATTAAATTCTAATATCTTTATTATTTGTTAAAAATATATATACTCTAAATTGATTGAATATTTATATACTTGTTTGTGCTTGTATCATAAAATTTCTAATTAGGCTACCATTATGTCAATTTTATCATGTGATTTGGGTATGTTTGTTTTGTAAGATTTTAAAAAAGAAATTTTTTTATGTGAGTTATAAAAAATTATATATAGAATATAAAAATAATGAATATGTGTAGTTTATTAATTTGTTTTTGAAAAAAATATGTAGAAACAAACTTTGAAAGAATGTAAGATTGATAAACTAAGAAATATTGTAACACACAAATGGAACCCAAGAGCTAAGATCATCTCTAATTGGGAAAATTGCACTTATTTTGTATTAATTGCATAAAGCTAAATTATTTATAAATAAATTTTATTATTGTAACTACATTAATATTGTTGATGTAATTTTTCAACAAAAATAAAGTAAAATTCAAAGATATAGAAAATATCCTTAAACTTGATTAATTAGTGCCTGAGATTAGGAATCTCTAAACACTGTATGGTACAGAAAATAAACTGGAAAATAAAAGACTGAAATTTAAAGTGGTGATCCCCAAATCTGACTTTGCTTTGTTGAAGTTGATTGAAGATGCCTTGCCAAATGATGATCCAAACCCTTAAATATTCTCTGGGAAATTGTACTGAAAACCGTCGCCCGAACGGTTACAACGTCTCCTTCCCAACCGTCTTCCAACCCTTCTCCTGCTGACACGTGTCCTCAGCAGACCAAAATTATCCCTATATTTCACTCTTTGAGCCGACCACAGACCTTCCGCCCTTTTGGCCCGACTGCCAATCTACAACCGTATTGGTCCGACTGCCAATCCTCCCGACCTGCGGACTTCCCGTCCTGATGACTTTCCGTCTTGAGGGCCTCCCGACCTGAAAACCTTCCGACCTGAGGTCTTTCCGTCTCGAGGACTTTCCGTCCCGAGGACTTTCCGTCTCGAGGACCCCCCGACCTGAAGACCTTCCGACCTGAGGTCTTTCCGTCCTGAGAACTTTCCGTCTTGAGGACCTCCCGACCTGAAGACCTTCCGACCTGCGGTCTTTCCGTCTTGAGGACTTTTCGTCTTGCGGACCTCCCGACCTGAAGACCTTCCGACCTGAGGTCTTTCCGTCCTGAGGACCTCCCGACCTGAAGACCTTCCGACCTGAGGTCTTCCCGTCCTGTATTTTCCTTAGAAATAAACCTATTTTCCTTGATTTCCTCACGGTGTCCTTCAGCCAGTTCAATCAACTCTATTGCCAGGCCCATTTTTTCTTTTACTTTGGGCTTTTTAACCTAATTCTAAATTTCATACGTAACAACTTGCCCGCCGCCAAGGGACTTTCAAACGCCATTTATCAATCGACGTTTGGAAGTTCATAAAGCACCACCCTCTTAAAAAACTCCCTTAGCAACTGCACCATTTACGGCAACACTCCTGATTAACTTCCCTTTCCGCAATAGAGCCTTTGTGAATCACAATCTCAACCACTCTAACCATGGCGAATCGATACCTTCCTGCCCTTCCCTTCGACGGAACCCTCCCAGAGGGCCCGTTTTCAGCTTCGAAAGTACTAACTCCGACGATCCGACCATACTGCATTACTCCTGAAGACTCAAATCGGATGAGGGAAGTTTTGGAATCCCGAAATTCCTTGGCTATCAACAACCCTAACTACCAAGCAGTTCGCATTCGAGACAGCATCAAAACCCATCTCACAGACCCAAAAGATCTTTATCGCTCTTGGTATCGACGGGTATCAGAACATTTCCAAACCCAATGGCGATCTAAAAAAATCGACCAAGCAATACTATTGTCCACCATGCCGATCAATCTGCACGAGAAGGTGCTCCTGGCCATGTCGGCCTTCTGGAATGCGGAAAATGGGACTTTCCTCTTACCGTCGGGCCCTTTTGGTCCGACTCTCATGGATGTGGCGATGATCGCTCATCTCCCAGTCGTGGGTGAAGACCCTGTGATGGGAGCCCTAGATGGGCAGGAGCCACCAGAAGACCATCCAGGGTGGTCTTTACAAGGCGTGAAGGAATGGGGCTGGACCAAGTTTGCGACCGACCAGCAAGGGGCTCCAGGGACCCCAGTAACCGACCTTAGTAACACCGACCACACAAACGACGCCAGCCCCAGCCGACCATTCAATCGTACCTTTGGTCCAGACTCAGGCACTTCCCCTCCAAACCCCTACTCCACTTCTCACTTTGCCAATGAGCAGTCGGGCGGCGGACCCGACAAGGAGGCAAACTCTTCCTCCTGTACCGAGGAGCGGTCGGGCCAGGCACCCGACCAGGAAGCAATCTTTACCAGCACTGCCTATAGAACCAGTAAGTTCTCTCGCCAGCAACACTCAGGATTCTGATGATCAATCTTGGTGTAGTTAACAACACCATTTCCATAATTTTTTACAGACACCTTCACCAATCGCATCAGCAGCAGGGGTCTCTTCAGACAGCGAGGGGACAACGTCCCAGATGGGTCGACCGCCATACATGGCATCAGACTCATCCATTTCGAAAGAAGAACCAGCTGCCCTTGCCGAAGCTGACCCTCAAGACGACATCCCTGCTGCTGCTGATCCCGAAATAGTCCAATCGGATGCAGCCGCGTTGGAAGCCGAAAGTGCCTCAGCTGCTGCTACCCCAGTTGCTCCTGAGATACCGGCTGCGGTGGCTCTAGATGCAGCTGCCCAACCAACAGCCGCCCAGCCAGCAGTGGCCCTACTTCCAGCAATCGAGTGGCAGGCAGAAGAACCACCTGTGGCAGCCCAACCTCCAGAAATAGAAGAACTTTCTTCGTCCGATTCGGAAACCTCTGTGAATTTGGTAAGATTAAACCAATTCATGCCACAATGTTTCTTTCTAAAAACACTAACTATTTTATATACTACTTTCCATAGGGACCCAGGTCGGCACCTCAGCGACCATTCGCAGCAGCCGACGAGTCGGCTGCTGTTATACCAGCTGTCCGCCCTACTCGACCGACCTCATTGTTGCCTCCCTCACTGACAGCAGTTCGCCCAGAGGTGACATATATCTCACCTGAATAATTTTGCACCTCCCTTGGAATATTTATTAAAACTGTAAGACTTGCAGGGGCCTTCGGACTTAGCTATCCTATCGACTGTTCCGGTTCCAGCGGAGGCCCAAACTATCTTCACCGAGGCCATTAACCATCCCCTTTCAGAATTAAGATCCGACTTATTGGACAAACTCATTCAGACGGTTGGTGGCCTTCTTTTTTACACTCCGACGGAATCGCCAGCCGTCCCCATTCTGCATCGGCTGATGGAGAGACTTACGGAGCTCAAGACTGAAGTGTTAGTTATTGGACTCCTATAAGCCGAAACCCCCCAGCCTGTCTTCGATCAAACAACACTGGAAAATTCTTTGGCTAAGACCCGAGAATCCCTTCAGCAAACTACTGGAAGGTTGGGCGGTCTCCTTAGCACGAAGGCTCAAGTTGATGAATTCATTCAGAAAAGGGAGGCAGAATTGCGGGAGCTAAGGAAGGAACAGTCTATCCTGGATAATCAAATTACCAATGAGCAGCGTCTGCTTGAGAAGTATACAAAGAACGAGGCCGAATTAGATCAAGAGCTAAAAACCCAAGCTCGATCCCAATTCATCAGAAGATATCAGACGACTGCTAATACCAGAAGGCTATCCAGGGATGAAGTCAAATGGACAAATATAAAAACTGCCCTAGGGGCACTTTTGTAATACTTCCCCCTCTGTAACAACATTTGACTTAGTAATATATTTCTCCTTCTTCTCTCAAAACAAGGATCACCTTTCAATTTCCAACTTTTGAGGAACCGAAACAAACTCCTCCCTTAAAAGAACAATGTTTCTCACATATTAAGAAACACGCCAAATTCCAAGGCATATTTTGAAAACCAAAACACTTGAAGTGTTAACAAACATGGCGAACGACCGACCTCATGTTCCATCAAGCAACTGGGAAGGTGTTCTTCAACCCTTCTTTGTAGGTAATCACCCTGTTGGAGGCCATGCAGAAGACTTGTTACATATACTCAAGCAACTAGACTTCAAATTCCGATTCTCCCAACGAGGTAGAAGAACCATTCATCGCGTCATCCGCCTAATGGAAAAAATCATTGAGGGGTATGAACCTCTTCGTGACATCCTTAGCCGCATTCCTGACCTCCATCATCACATGGAATTGATTGAAAATCACGCAGCAACCATACTTCCAGACCTTGGTTGGGATAATATATTTCCCAATCAACGAAAAGTCTTTTCAAGATTGCGTACCATTGTTGACCGTGAATATCAAGCCATAACAGACATGCAAGCACGTACCAATCAAGATTTAGACGAAATGCAAAGCCAATGGGAGATGTACCGACCAGATTTGGAAGATCTTATTGAAGAAGAACCAGAACTAATATCCACTCATTGGGATGAAAATTCTGATTCAGAGGCAGAAAATTTCTCACAAATACATGATGACTAACAGAAATGAACCTTTAAATAGGTTCGAACCCCACAAATGGGTTCTGAATAATATTTTGTTTTCATGCAGTTTTGTTATCTAAAAAGGCAGGATAATACCTCTTCAGATATTTAGCATTAATACAATC